AAATCTTAAAGGTCCCATGTCATGCTTTTCCGGTTATTAGCCGTCCCCTTGGGTGTTATGTAGCTTTTTCTGCATGTAAACCGTCTGCAGAGTCACAAACCCTCAAAGTACACCCTGTAGTTGGAGATTTTTCTTTTTCAATTTTTTTCTTCCTGAGTATAGTGACGTAACGATACATAGGTCCAAATGGACCAATGCGCTGTCTCGCAGACTCCACGCAGCAACCAGGAAACAACACCAGTAACCCAGCTCACACTGTCCGCTCCTCGAGCCTCAAAGGGCAGAGCAGCGAGACCCGCAACGTCCCGCCAACACGGCACCAAGACCCCACGCAGCATTCTCATCTGTTTGTCATTAGTAGTGTCATTTTCTGGTTGCTAACAAACGCCATTGTAACACATAATCACTGATGTTCCGCTGTAACGGTGGTGGACTCATCAGAACAGAGTGGGTGAGCTGACCAATCAGAGCACAGTGGACTCACAGGGAGGGGAGGGGCAGGAGCGTTTAGGAAAGAGAGTGAATACACATACTATACAGAGATGCTGTATGAGAAACCAATGTGAGTTTGGAACATTGAACAATATAAATCTATTCTAGTAGACCTCAACAATGGAATTATGATCAGTAGAAATGGCCATGTCATGGGACCTTTAAATGGAGGTAGATCCACTGCTTGTTCAAAAGTACCTATAACGCAGGAGCCATGCAGCCAGCTCCTCTCCTGTGGTCCATGACTCCACTTCAGTGGTCAGCTTCTCATCTGAAAACAACAACGCTTGTTTAGGTTCACACTGTGCTGCCGATATCATGTGTCAGGTTTCATGATGCTAATGTTTTCTTTCTTACCGTTGTAGGTGTGTACATCCAGCAGCATGGTGCCTTTCCTCTGGTTGGCAGTCCACTCCAGCTGGGTGGGGGGGTAGACGCGGGCAGCAGGGGCCGGGAGCTGCAGAGAGGTCAGCAGCTTGTGTTGGCACAGAGAGCGGTACTCCCCCGGACCGTGGTCAGAAACATACCTAAAGAGAGAGAGAGCAGACTGAGTCATGGCAGACAGTGTTTCAAAGTGGTTTAAGGAATAGCATGGTCAAAAAGAGAACATCCATAACATGATTTAAAAGGTTTCAACAGAATCCAGTGCAAGAGTCAGACTAACAATAGAAGAGACTGCATTTTGAAAAGCACTAGTCACTTTCAAGAATCTAAACATTTTCAAAGTTAAAGGCGAACATGTTCAGCAAATCATCATCATCATTTCCTGTTTGCAAAGCAGACCTGGAGCAACATTAGCATCACTGTCACTTTAAACTGGGTGTCCATCAACTCCTGACAAATATGTCTGTCCCTTTAACCAAAGTTTAAATGCTCAACTATCTTCGTGGGCGAGTGACTGTGTGTCGCTGCTGTTGTGCTCTGGGTTTATGTAAGCTGTTTTGCAGAAAGCAAAATCATAAAAGTACTTGTCAGTTGAAAGAAACTAAAAAGGCCCCACAGAGCTTTGTGAAACGGCATACTGTAAATGATTGCTATAAAAGAACCCTTTCACATTAAACAAGTCGTTCCATTGTTCATCTAAATGTATTAATAAGTGCAGCTTTAAGTGAGCCTATGTAACTATGGGCCAAAGGGACAAGACTAAATGCTAGTTTCATAGCCGTTTGCTATTAGCTACTGCTCATAGTGGACCAACACTGGACTGGGACCCAGTACATGAAACAGCAGCTCTAACCACATTTAAATATATAATACAAAAATGGTGTTATTCCTTCTTTGAAAAGTGACGTAGTTGCGCTGTAATGTCTTCTAGCGCAGTGGTTTCCAACCGGGGGTACGGGGAACCCTAGGGGTACTTAAGATCATTGCAAGAATGGATGCATTGTTAGGCATTGTTACATTGTTAGGCAGGGATAAACACACAGCTACAACCGGCAGTTCAGTGAGAAATACATTTCTCATGGATTTATTTAAAATGAATAATTCTATGACGCCAACCAATCTGCAGCGGCGGCACCAATGCACCAAACATGCCGGGAGTGTCAGTAGAAAGTTGGGTTGAATACAAATACAAAGAGTATAATAAAAGAAAACATGGAGGCCAATCATCACAGATGAGTGGGGGGGTACTTTCTGTTCGCATGTAGCTGGAGACTATGATGGCAGTGCAGTCACCCTGTAGCACTACACTGTGCTCTCCAGTGACCCCTGTAGGTAGAGAAGGGGAACACCTACTTGAGCAGGGGCTTGTCCAGCGTGGGGGAGGGGGTGAAGGCGCTGAGACAGCAGGTCAGCAGCAGCCAGCCCCTCAGGCTGCTCAGATCCTCCTGCAGGCCCCAGGTGTGGTAGGCCAGCTGGGCCAGGATCTCGTCCCTCAGGGGGGGCCGGCTCTGACCCCTCTCCACGATGTAGTTACCCAGCAGCTGCTCCTGCCAGCCACTCAGCTCCGACTCACCCGTAAACCGCAGGATCTGAGGAGAGAAGGGTCGGAAAAAATTAAAACCGGACAAATGAGAAGGAAACAAATATAAACTAAAGTAATCACTCTGTACCAGTTTGTAGATGTCCAGGGCAGTTCTGTTATCTTCAGGCTCCAGGGGGGTGAGGGATCTCTGGAGGGGGCGTCCCTGAGGCTGGCACCATGTATCCTGAGGAGGGCAACATATGAGGGAATCTCACAATCCCACTCCTTTCATTCATTCAGGTGTAGGGCTGTTCCTGTATAAGCTTTGTTTAGAATAATACATCTTTGAACGTAAATGTAATCTGAGATTGAGTTTGATATTCAAGCCTCAATCAAACAGAAATAAATTGGTACAAGATTATTCTTGTTATTATATGTTTTTATAAAAATCCTTGTTTTCTTGAACCAGGAAGGAATCTCCATAAATCTCTGTAAGACATTTATTTATTACATTTTTACATAAAGGGAGTGGATTGAAACGTTGAAATACTTTCCAACAACAACAACAACAACAACAACAACACAGTGTCAACAAAGTCCCTGGTAGATCATTAGCTAACACTTATGACCCAATGCTGTGCAATAAATACCTGAATATGTTCTAAATAGACATGTTTTTGTAGTATGTGCAAGCCCTTTGCTCACCTTTAAGATGGACTTGGCATAGCGAGAGAATGGGTATCTGTCTACATCCAGAGGCAGGCTGAGCTTGTGTTGGGCCTTCACCTGAGGGGGGGCCACCTCTGTGACCCCCGAGCCATGCTGCTGCCCTGGTGGACAGAGATGGAACAACAATCACAAACTGAGCACTGTGGCAGAACAGGAGGATTAACGTGATGTGTTATCTGATACAATGTGATGATTATTAAAAAGGTACCTGCTGCACTGCGGAGCCTGGCTGACAGCTCAGCAGGGATCTCCAACATCCCCACATCCTGAGGGAAACATAGAGCAAAGATGACCTCAGGAGAAACCAGACAGCTGGCCCTTAGATGTCTGGGAAATGTTACAGCAGGCTCTCTCTCTACGATGTGGGATACTTTTGATTTGCTTACCATTCCTGGAGATACACTCTTAGTCTTTGTCACTGCCTTCACTTTATTCTTCTCATGAAATTCCTGAAATTGACACGCAGCAAAGTCAGTCCATCACACTGGGACCAGCAGGATTTCCTCTCATAATCTTAACGTTATACAGTGCTATTTCTGGCGTCCTTCACCTGAAGCTTATTTGTTTCACTGAGTAATCCTCTTGATATCCAGGTAAACTCAACCCTCCCTCCTCTCTGCGGAGAAGTGTGTTCAATCAGACCTATTCTTAGACACACGTCCTGTTTTATACTTCTGCCCCTCCCTCAGGTGGTGGCCCCGCCTCATACAGCAGGGCACGCAGTTCCAAGAGTCCAGGAAGTGTGTTTTTATCAGGAGCTTTACAGCTCACAGAGAGGAGTTCCATCAATGCAGCAGGGCAGCGTCACTCAGATGTGATTCATATGATGAACTTATCTCTGTCATTCCCAGTATTTACAGGTTGAGTAGTTTAAAGTAGGTATCGGACAAATGCCTGAAACCTGAAGTATGCATTTCAGATTACACATGTGCGTGCAGACATACTCATACAGCAAATACCCTTCTTTCATGCCATTTTGTATTCATACACTTAAATAAAGAGAATGGGTCTGTTCAAACACACACAGCCCCACCCTGCCTTACCTCCACAATGACCGACCCACCCAAACCAAACAAGTGTGGCACAAATCAGAAGTGACCCAAACAGCCTGAGGCTCACTACACCCTGACAATATGTTACCAATTTATCAGTTTAATAATTTTGTTTTAAACGTGTCATGTAAGAACGATGTCATTGGAACTCATATCAGGAGCATAGATGTGACAGGTAACAGAGTTAAAGCAGATCATGTAATTCTCATTAGGAAAAAGTGACTCATATACGCAATTGTATATCCTGTATTTCACTATGACTATGTTAGTAAACGAAAGGATCCACACATGTTAAGAATTGGTCAGCCTTGATTATGGTTGGATTACATCTGTTGACAAAAACCTATTGCTTTCTGTTTCAATGAACAGGGTACTTCAACAATATGAGTAATAAACTCAATGTATCAGTCACGTTCATGGGGGTCATATTCATTGGGCTCAATATATATTGGTTTGAGGGCCACTGTTTTCTATCTCCAGCTCGTTCCAACTCTGCTGCAGAAACTCTCCTCTCTACTCTCTCATCCTCTCTGGACTCTCTCTGTCCTCTCACATCTCGGCAGGCTCGTCAGTCCCCTCCTGCTCCCTGGCTAAATGACGCACTGCGTGCTAATAGAACCATCCTTCGGGCAGCAGAGCGGAAATGGTGGAAATCCAAACACCATGACGACCTCCTAACCTATCAGGCTCTCCTCTCCTCTTTCTCTGCTTCCATCTCTCAGGCAAAAAGCACTTTCTTTCAAGATAAGATCCAATCTTCCTATTCCAATCCCAAAAAACTATTTTCCATCTTCTCCACCCTCTTGGACCCCCCGAAAGCCCCTTCCCCCTCCTCCCTTCTGTCAAGCGACTTTGTTAACCACTTTGAAAAAAAGGTTGATGATATTCGCTCTTCTTTTTCTGACTCACCTTTACTCACCGCTGGGTCACCAGACCCACCTTTCACCCACACACTAACCTCCTTCTCCCCTCTCTCTCCAAGTGAGGTTCTTACCCTCATTACCTCTGTCCCGTCCTACCATCTGTCCTTTGGACCCTATCCCTTCAAACCTCCTTCAAACTATCGCTCCTGATATTCTACCGTTTCTCACCCATTTCATCAACACTTCTCTAACTTCTGGTCACTTTCCAAACAGTCTCAAGGAGGCAAGAGTAAACCCTCTCCTAAAGAAACCCACTCTCAACCCGTCTGATGTTATAAACTACAGGCCTCTCTCTCTCCTCCCGTTCCTGTCTAAAACACTTGAACGCGCTATCTTTAAACAACTCTCCTGTTATCTCCATCAGAACAACCTTCTGGATCCGCACCAGTCTGGTTTCAAGGCAGGACACTCCACAGAAACTGCTCTCCTTGCTGTCTCTGAGGAACTGCAACCTGCTAAAGCAGCCTCCCTCTCCACTGTCATCATCCTTTTGGACCCGTCTGCTTCATTCGAGACGGTGAATCATCAGATCCTCCTTTGCACTCTCCAATAACTTGGAGTGTTCTTGGTCCCCTCCTCTTCTCCTTGAACACAAACTCGCTCGGATCTGTCTTTAGCCCGCATGGTTTTTCATACCACTGCTACGCTGACGACACCCAACTAATTCTGTCCTTCCCCCGCTCAGAGACCCAGGTCGTCGCACGCATCTCTGCTTGTCTAGCAGACATCTCTCAGTGGATGTCTGCTCATCACCTCAAGCTCAACCTTGACAAGACTGAACTGCTTTTCCTTCCGGGAAAAGATTGTCCCACTCTTGACCTAACAATCAACATCGGCACCTCTGTTGTTTCCCCGACTCAGACTGCAAGGAATCTGGGTGTGATCCTAGATAACAAACTGTCCTTCACTGCAAACATCGCTGCTACAACCCGCTGCTGCAGATACACTCTTTACAACATCAGGAGGATACGTCCCCAGCTGTCCCAGAAAGCAACGCAGGTTCTGGCCCAGGCTCTCGTCATCTCACGCCTAGACTACTGCAACTCTCTCCTGGCTGGTCTACCTGCATGTGCCATCCGACCTCTGCAGCTCATCCAGAATGCAGCGGCTCGTCTGGTCTTCAACCTTCCAAAATTCTCCCACAC